GGCGGGACGGGGAGGAGGAGGAGGAGGGGCAGGGACTACCGGGGAAGGGGTGACCAGGAACAGGGGGGGGGGTAACCGGGGGACCACGGTGGGGAAAGCGGCGGTAGTAGGAGACGGACTCGTCAAAGGTGACGTCACGAGAGTGAAAGAAGCGGTGAGACGGCGGGTGGTAAAAGTGCCAGTCGGACGCGTCAAGGGGAAAACCGAGGAAGACGCAGGGAAGGGTGCGGGCAGTGAGCTTGTCCGTGCCGGAGGCACGGACGTGAGCAAGGCAGCCCCAGACGTGGAACGCAGACGCGTCACCAGGAGACCCAGTCCAAAGACGGGTCGGCGAAACCTGCGGCTGCTGAGGGTGCGGCCACAGGTTAAGCTGGTGAGAAGCGTAGCGCACAGCGAACGGCCACAGAAAATGGGGTGCACCGGCATGGATCATGGAGGTGCGAGCCACCTCCATGAACAAACCGATGCGTCGCTCAGCGACCCCATTCTGCTGTGGGGAGTCCGGTAGGGTGAACGTCTGGGTGATGCCCTCCGCACGACAAAAGCGACCAAGGACACCGGAGGCAAACTCGCCACCACGGTCTGAGTGAAGACGCAAGACAGGGAGACCGCGGTGGACACGCGCAGAGACAAGCCAGGGGATGAGAGCGCCAGGCACGTCGGCCTTGAGCTCCAGGGGAAAGACTGTGGTGTAACGAGTGAAGTCGTCGACAAGCACAAGGAAGTAGCGCTCTCGACGCGGCCCAGGGACGGGGGCCGGGCCCCAGACGTCCAGGTGCAGGGTCTGCAGCGGCGCGGCGGTAGGGGGAAACGAAGAGGAGTGAGGGGCACGGCGAAGCCGACCCTCGACACAAGGCGTGCAAGGTGGGGCTGGAGAGGAGGGAAACGCGGGGAGCGAACCTGGGAGACCAAGGACGAGACCGTGCTGGGACATGTGACGCAGACGCGGGAGCGCAGGGTGACCTAGGCGGTGGTGCCACAGGAGGGTCGGGTGAGTGAGGGAGCGACAGGAGCAGGCAGCAGCAACCTGGGTAGACGCAGCCACTTGAGGGGGCGCTCCAGCCGGGGGGGGTCACGGTGTCCAGAGTGAACAGGCCGGACACCGGGTCCCGGGGGAACGTGGACAAGGGGGGCACCAGTGGCGGCCTCGGTACAGACAGCATACCGCTCGTGGCCAGGGAACGTAGTGGTGACGCCAAGGTCCTGGAGGCAGCCGACACCAACTAGGTTCCTGGAGAACGAGGGGATATGTAGACCTGTAAGAGAACCCGAAGGAACCGCCGGACAGGGAAGGGTGGTGGAACTGCGGGCGACTACCGGACCGCCGGAGGGGTCAGCAAGAGAAACGGCAGCAGGAACAGGAAGCGGCGTCAGGGTGGTGGAGTCGCGGAAGAAACACCGAGAGGTGCCAGAGTCCAAGGTGAAGGAAAGTGAAGCCGAGGGGTCTGGCGACGGAACGACGGCGGAAGCACCAAGACTACACAGAGCAGGGGATCCTACGCCTGACGCAGCAGGGGAGGCTAAGCTAGGCACATCTACACTAGGCAACAGTGAGTAATAAGCGGGAAGCACACTAGAGTCATCAGCATACATCACATGCAGAGCGGAAACAATGGCATCCATGTCCATATCAAAAATCTGAATCTGACGACTAAGCAAACTGTGCCAGTCCGGGAGGTCTGGCGACGGGCCGAAGCGCTGACGAAAGAGGTCGTCCAGGCGATGAAAACAGCGGGGAGTGGAGTGACCGATCTTACCGCAAACGAAGCCGCGGCGAGGACCGGTCTGGATCTGGTACTGACAACGCCCGCCGCCAGAGCCACCACGCGGCACACCACCACGCGCCCGGCCACCGCCAGCGCCCGGCCACCCTGGCGGGAGGACACTCGTCTGCCGCGTCTGCGACGGCTGCTGCGGCTGCTGCGAAGGCTGCGACTGCGGCGGCTGCTGCGGCTGCTGCGGCTGCTGCACCTGCAGGGGCGGCGACTCAGCTGAACTGGGCAGGGTCCCCTCGTCCACTCCAGCACCAGGCGACCCGACCCCACCACTACCCCCGCCCGCACCCCCGCCGCCTCCTCCGCCGCGCCCAGCCTTGGGGCGGCGGCCCTTCCCCGAACGGACCTGCGCTGCAGCAGCAGTCTCAGCCACTGCGGCAGAGCCGTCGGAGAAGGTGCACTGAGCGGGGGCACAACCCTGAAAGATAGGGACCGGCACGACACCGCTCGCCTGGGCGATAGAGCGGTGACGGGTCTCTATCACAGTCAGGGTGTCTACAAAGTCAGTGAGGGTGAGGTTTGCGGGGTGAACGCTAAGAAAGCGGTCGCGGGCGACAGCAAGGCGGTCAGGGAGGCGGGTGGCAAGCAGGTAGAGGGTAGAGGTAATGGGCGGCTGGTGGGCTCTAAGCTGGGCGTCAGTGCAGGCAGCGCGCCAGGTCTCATCTATCGAGCGCAGGTGGGCAGCGAGGTCAGAGACAGTGGGGAAAGATGCAAGGTCAGAAAAGAGCATCGGAAGGATCAGGCGACCCACCGAGGCAGCCGGAGGGGTGGAATAGCGCTTGATCACAGCATCTAAGTATGCCTGAGCAGTAGTGAGGGACCTAAAGCGAGGACGCTCGGATGGGGGAAGGGCGTTGCTAATGGCAAGCTGGGCAACAGCATCGCGAGAAAGCCAGACAGAGCGCGCACGGGCAGTGGCAGCAGTAGACTCACGCTCAGTGGGTGTGGGGTCAGCAGACAGAATAGCAGGGGGGTCTGGGCAGGGGAGCGTACCGTCAAGGTGTGCGGAAAGCGGTTCACCATCCTGCCGCTGGCCAGTGAGTTGGCGGCGGAGGTCGGCAAGCCACGCCTCGAACTCTAGGGGCTGACCTTCAGCGTCGAAGCGAAGCTCCGCCGCCATCAGGAACAGTCCAGTGCGGTGCAGTGCGGTGCAGTGCGGTGCAGTGCGGTACAATGCGGTGCAGTGCGGTGCAGTGCGGTGTAGTGCGGTGTAGTGCGGTGCCAGGCAGTACAGTGTGGTGCGGGGCGGCACGGAGCAGGGCGGGGTGGGGGGGAACCGTACCAGTGAGGAGGACGGGGCCGAGGCTGGCCCGACGGGGCCGGGCGGGCGCGACGGGGCCGGGCTGGTGCGACAGGGCCGGGACGGGACGACGGGGCCGAGCGGGCGCGACGGGGCCGGGCTGGGGCGACGGGGCCGGGCGAGTGCGGCAGGGCCGGGCCGGTGCGACGGGGCCGGGCGAGCGGGACGGCGGCCGGGCGGGTGCGACGGGGCCGGGCGGCGGCGACGGGGCCGGGCGGGTGCGACGGGGCCGGGCGGCTGCGACGGGGCCAGGCAAGGGCGACGGGGCCAGGCGGCTGCGACGGGGCCGGGCGGGCGCGACGGGGCCAGGCGGCTGCGACGGGGCCGGGCGGGCGCGACGGGGCCGGGCGGGTGCGACGGCGCCGGGGGGGCGCGACAGGGCCGGGCGGCTGCGACGGCGCCGGGCGGGCGGGACGGGGCCGGGCGGCTGCGATGGGGTCGGGCAGGGTGCGACGGGACCGGGGGGGGGGGGGGGGTACGACGCGGCCCAGGAGGGGCGCTACGGGGCCCAGGAGGGGCACGACGGGGGCCCAGGAGAGGCGCTACAGTGGCCCAGGAGGGGCGCAACGGGGCCCAGGAGGGGCGCTACGAAGCCCAGGAGGGGCGCGACGAGGCCCAGGAGGGGCGCTACGGGGCAGGGGAGGGGCGCGACGGGGCCTGGGAGGGGCACGACGGGGCCCAGGAGGGGCGCTACAGGGCCCAGGGAGGGCGCGACGGGGCCCAGTAGGGGCGCTACGGAGCCCAGGAGGGGCGCGACGGGGCCTGGGAGGGGCGCGACGGGGCCCAGGAGGGGCGGGACAGAGCCCAGGAGGGGCGCGACGGGGCCTAGGAGGGGCGCTAGGGGGCCTGGGAGGAGCGCGACGGGGCTTGGGAGGGGCGCGACGGGGCCTGGGAGGGGCGTTACAGGGCGTAGGAGGGGCGCTACGAAGCCCAGGAGGGGCGCGACGAGGCCCAGGAGGGGCGCTACGGGGCCCAGGAGGGGCGCGACGGGGCGCTACGGGGCCTGGGAGGAGCGCGACGGGGCCCAGGAGGGGCGCTAGGGGGCCTGGGAGGAGCGCGACGGGGCCTGGGAGGGGCGCGACGGGGCCTGGGAGGGGCGTTACAGGGCCCAGGAGGGGCGCTACGAAGCCCAGGAGGGGCGCTACGGGGCCCAGGAGGGGCGCGACGGGGCGCTACGGGGCCTGGGAGGAGCGCGACGGGGCCCAGGAGGGGCGCTAGGGGGCCTGGGAGGGGCGCGACGGGGCCTGGGAGGGGCGCTACAGGGCCCAGGAGGGGCGCTAGGGGGGATGAGTGGAATCGGTAGGTGGGGGGGATCCTACCTACGCGTGATACCATATCAGAATTAGAATTGAATAATGGTAAAGTGAGAGTACACACAAATATACCTAAGTGTTGTACCCTCTAAGAGGTAACCCTATACAGTCTATACAAACATGACAAATACAGATGTTTGACATCCTATTCCTAGATAATTATGGATTACCCCATATAAGTCTGAAACCTAGCTAGGCTATAGTTTGTATAATTGCTAACACATATGTGAATATCAACAACCACAACCTATTCGCGTCTTCCCCCCAAAGGCCTACCTGCAAAGCACGAATGAGCGTTCTCGGAGCTTTGCAACAGATTGTTGTATGTGCCAAAATTCTTGGATATAGTGGTGGTATTTGTAGTGGTAGTGGTGGTTATGGGGTCGTCAAGTGGGTTTGTCTTGATAATGTGTAGAAGGGTTTGTTTTGTTATTTTTGTGAACTCATTTTAGGTACTATCATTCTGATGATCAACCTTGTGGACAGCTTCTAAAGAGTAACTCCTGCGTCACCACTCGCTTGACTCACTTCTCGCCGTCTTTCCCCCAAGCGTCAGTCAACAAGGACGGCAGCTGCTAACCACAGTCTTGTATTTTCAGACTCCCCGTTGACTGGATTCGCGCTGACTCCTAGATTCCGTCGGCACAAGAAAAGTCGTCACTGCAGAAACTTGCGTTGCGCCGCGTCAACCCTTTTCACCCAGTAAAACGCGACTGTCGGCTTACTAGTAGCTCATCGCAGCAGCGACGATGGCCAGAAGTAGAAATAGCGAGCTGGATCGGCGTATCGTTACCCACAGCTGTTTGTTCGGCCATCTTTCCTCGCAGCGGTTCGAGAATATCTCTTGGCCGTCGAAGCAGCATCGCCACCTCTGGCGAAATCGCAAGAGTCTCTTCCACCGTCCGTGCGAGACGTTCTTGCCAGAAGGAGCAGGGCGAATAAGACTCTTTAGTCGGCCTCGCTTGCAATCACTCAGCGACTTATTCTGCTGAGTCGAAAAGAAGTCTCGACTAGGGGGTACTTACTCCTCCTCTCCATGGCGCCGCGTCTCGGTTGGTCGCGCCTCGTCCCCGCGCTCGCGCTCGTGGCGCTCCTCTGCTTCGCGCGCGTCGATCACGCCGCGTGCAACGCGCGCTCGTTCGGCCTTCCGCGTCTCGCGGGGCGGCTCGGCGGCTTGGCCGGGGGATCGGGTTGGTCCTTCTTCCGCCCCCCTGGGACAGGCAGCGGCGGCGGAAGTGGCGCGACGCGAGGCGGGCAGAACGGGCAGGGCGGGTTTGGTGGGGGAATGAGCGGGCAGCCGGGTAGTGCGGGAGGAGGGGGAATGGGCGGCGGAGGCATGGGTGGAGGAGGCATGGGCGGAGGAGGCGCAGGAGGCATGGGCGGAGGGGGGATGGGCGGAGGGGGCATGGGCGGAGGGGGCTTGGGCGGAGGCGGCATGGGCGGAGGCGGCATGGGCGGAGGAGGCGCAGGAGGCATGGGCGGGGGGGGAATGGGCGGAGGGGGCATGGGCGGAGGAGGCATGGGCGGAGGAGGCATGGGCGGAGGAGGCATGGGCGGAGGCGGCATGGGAGGAGGCGGCATGGGCGGAGGCGGCATGGGAGGAGGCGGCATGGGCGGAGGGGGCATGGGCGGAGGGGGCATGGGCGGAGGAGGCATGAGCGGAGGGGGGATGGGCGGAGGAGGCATGGGCGGAGGAGGCATGGGCGGAGGGGGCATGGGCGGAGGCGGCATGGGGGGAGGAAGTATGGGGGGAGGCGGCATGGGGGGAGGGGGCACGGGGGGAGGCGGCATGGGGGGAGGGGGCATGGGGGGAGGCGGCATGGGGGGAGGGGGCATGGGGGGAGGCGGCGGGTCATCAGGTGGGAGTGCGTGTGGCAACAGCAGCAGCAGCAGGAGCGCCAAGATGAGGTCCAGCAATGGGAAGAGGTGGGCATCCATCCATCCCTTGTGACGCACTCCTCCCTCCCTACCCTGTGAGCTCCTTCTGTGCATGCGACAGTTCTTCCCTTGGTTCCATCCGCGTCTGTCCACGCTGCTCTTCACCACCCCGTACCTCCTCCCTCGTCGCCCTGCCTCTCCTCCCCTCTTCACCATGCCCTCTTCACCATGCCATCTTCACCATGCCCTCTTCACCATGCCGTCGTCACCATGCCATCTTCACCATGCCATCTTCACCATGCCATCTTCACCATGCCATCTTCACCATGCCCTCTTCACCATGCCCTCTTCACCATGCCATCTTCACCATGCCATCTTCACCATGCCATCTTCACCATGCCATCTTCACCATGCCCTCTTCACCATGCCCTCTTCACCATGCCCTCGTCACCATGCCATCTTCACCATGCCCTCTTCACCATGCCCTCTTCACCATGCCATCTTCACCATGCCCTCTTCACCATGCCCTCTTCACCATGCCATCTTCACCATGCCCTCTTCACCATGCCATCTTCACCATGCCATCTTCACCATGCCCTCTTCACCATGCCCTCTTCACTATGCCGTCTTCACCATGCCCTCTTCACCATGCCATCTTTACCATGCCCTCTTCACCATGCCCTCTTCACCATGCCCTCTTCACCATGCCCCCTTCACCATGCCCTCTTCACCATGGCCTCTTCACCATGCCCTCTTCACCATGCCCTCTTCACCATGGCCTCTTCACCATGGCCTCTTTGCCATTCCCTGTCTCCCCCCTCAGAGTCATGGTGTCCAACGGGTGTCCCGGGTACGTGTGGGGCGTGCGCAATCCCACTCCTTGTGTCCTATTCACCTCCTATTTCCTCCCTTTTCACCCCCTACTTCTTCCCCTGCCCTATCTCACTCAGAGTGATGACGTCCAACGGGTGTCCCGGGTACGCGTGGCGGGTGCAGGGCACGGTCAACACGGCAGTGCAGCAGACGCTTTCCTTCTCAGTTCCGCTCGCCCCCACGCTCTCCTCCTCCACCCGTGTGGGCGTGGGTGGCTGCAAGATGGGCCCCATAGGCTTTGCACTCAACGGGGTGCCCTTCTACAGGTACACACACAGGGGGAAAGGGGGCGTGAGGGGGGTTTGGTCATGTTATAGGCCCTCGTACATGTATGGGAGTTCTCGCATTCAGGCCCACTCATTTGAACCCTTGGCAGGATCTCATCTTTCTTAAGTCTCGCCGTGCAGCACCTTGGTGCGAGCGGAAGCGTCACAGGATTTGATTCTGTACATTCTAACACATTCCCTTGGTCCCTTCTTTTACCCTCTTCCTTGCACAGAGCATGCGACGCCCTGCAGCGTTGCAGCACCAAGGGGCAACAGGCAGTGTCGCAGCTCTTGCTTCTGTACAGCCCCTAACACACGCCTTCCTTCCATTGTACCCCCCTCTTGTTCAATTGCTCCCACAGCGCCTGTGACGCCCTGGGCCGGGACGCCCTGAAGTACGAGGGGGCGAGCTTCGACGGGTGTGCAGGGCACCCCTCGCCCTTTGGGCAGTACCACTACCACCTGGCGCCCGGCGTCGCCAACCCCTCTGCCATCTCCGGCTCTCGCACTGCCACTTTCCAGCTCTGCAGGTCAGTTGCTGCTGCTGCCGCTGCGTTCCATGCATCATGCCATGTGGCATGCCATAACTATCATATCTATTCTTTGTGATGCACTCCCTTGTGCCATTTTACATGCCATGTGTTGCTGTTGTGTACCATTCTTGAATCAACCCTCTTCTCTCTCCCCTTCCCCCCCCACCACGCACGCAGCTCCTCCTTCTGGCAGGACACCCCCAGCGCGCACTCCCCGCTGGTGGGCTTCCTGGCGGACGGCATTCCGCTGTACGGCCCGCGGGGGGCGGGGGGGGCGCTGCCAGCAGGGCTGGACGAGTGCAACGGGCACGTGGGCGACGGCAGCGCGGGCGAGCCGGCGTTCTACCACTACCACACCACCAGCACGGCGCCGTACACCGTGGCGTGCCTCAAGGGCTGCGTCTCCGCCTCGGACTGGAGCAATGTGGGATCCGCCTCCTGCACCAAGGCCAGCCGTGAGTGGCGTGGGGAGGGCAGTATGTGGAAGGGGCGGTGGCAGTATGGGTGCAGCTCCTCGATTCTCCTATCCCCTCCTATTTTCGCATATCTTTCCGCTTCGATCTTCTCCTCCCCCTCCCTTCTCTCCTCTCCACTTCCCTCTCCCCCACCCATCTCCTCTGCTCTCCTTTCTCCTCCCCTAATATCCTCTCATATCCTCTCCTGTATTCTCCTCCACCCTCTCCTGTCACGCCCTGTCTCCCACACCAGAGCAATACGACTACTCATCCCTCGCAGCCATGCAGGCAGCATAGCCTCTCTCGTGTTGTGCCAGCAGTGAAGCATGCACCACCACCCACCCACGATCACTGGCAGCTGGGGCTGTTGCTGCTGGCTAAATGGTTGTCTGCTGCGGTTAAATGGTTGTTTGCTGCTGGCTTAGGGCGTATTCCTATGAACCGGGATCAAAATCAAACTCGTGCCCTACTGTGCCATGCAAGTGTTGGAATCGCGTTTCATTGCAGTCCTGCGCGAGTCTGATTCTGATCGTGGTGCACTCGATGACTTTGCTGCATGTTGGCTGCCGAATCACTGTCCGACGATTGCCTTCCAGCGGTTACCAGCCATGTGGAGTGTTTCCAATTGCACAGCCAGTCTTGGCCACCATGTATTAAAGGATGGATAGATTGAAAAAAAGCAGCTGTCAATGACATTCTGGATAAGCATACTGCATGACATGGCAAGTTGGCAACACAGAGAACTTGCATGCAGGCCGCTAGATATCAGACTTTTTACGCTGATTCAGCCTTTTTTCAGCCTTCTGTTTCGTACATACGCTGAACTGTAAGACTTTGATAACAACGTGAGAAACAATGATTAGAATGAGAGATACAAGGTACTTTTGTGCTAAGGGGTTGTACTCTCTAAGGGTACGCACCTATCTAGCCCATAAGATACATACATATGTTTTTACACAGCCCTTAGGCTAGATGAGGGGCAATGCCTGGCAAGAGACACACAGCTCAGGGTGGCACTACTAGCCCAACCTCTGAGGCAAGGGTCCGAAGACCAGTCAGCAAGAGTACAAACTAAACAAGAGAAACACAGGGCGGTACTACTTGTTCGACGCCACCACAGCAGATCAACGACGACGCCACGGCGTCGCGTCGATGCCATGGCAGCACGTCGACGCTGCCATGGACGTCACTGCCAAGGGCAGGAGCACCCCCGACAGACGGAGGACAGGCAGGGTAAGAGACCAGAGCGGTGGCGTAGTCAAGGCGGCGGGTAGAGGCGAAGTCAGCGACCGCAGCGACAAGGTAACGAGACCGGAACCGGAACGGACGGGTCAGTAACGAGAGAGGCAAGGACCCGAGGAACAAGAGGATGGCAAACTTCGACAACGCAAAAGATACCCAGCAGCTATTCGCGAGCATCGCAGCCCTTCAAGAGGAGATGCGAGCGGATCGCGAAGCGTGGCGAAACGAGTTCGAGCGAGTAACTCGACTCGCCGGACCGCAACACAAAACGACAACAGCGACGACGCAGCAGTGGTAGCAGTTTCTCAAGGCTCCAAAACCGCGCCCACCTGAGCCGTTCGATCCGAGCGATCGAAACTCCGACGTTCTCAGATGGATCGCCGGCATGGAGATCTACTTCGCAGCCGTCGGATGGAGCTCGCCAGTCTAGGACGGTCAACGTGTACGACTCGCAGCAACACTGATGTGAGGACCGGCACTCGAGTGGATCGGCGGTAACAGCACGTTCATCCACGGCGAAGCCACGTGGCAGCAGTTCCGCACCGACCTGCTGAAACGTTTCGAGCCGATAAATTCGGGTTTCGTTGCCCGGGAAAAAATTCATCGCCATCGACTGTTCGGGAGTGTAGCACAGTACACGCAGCAGATGGAAGAATTTTATAACGGCATTCCCGACCTGACCAAAGGGGAAAAAGTACAGTCGTACCTCGCCGGGCAGAAGACCGAAGTCAAACAACAAGTGGCAGCGACAAACTATGCGAGCTACAGTGACGTCGTATCGGCCGCTGAACGCTTCGACATGGTCAACGCCGGGACACGACGGACGCACATCGGCAGTACGCGACAGGGCGACCGCTCTGCTCACCCCACGTTCGCCGACCCGATGGAAGTCGACAGGTTCGAAGGGCCGCCACGTCCGAAAAACACCAAATTCAAGTGTGATTTTTGCGGGGTGCCGGGTCATCGAATCTTCGACTGCAACTAAATGAAAGCCACACGCGTTGAGTATCACGCACGCAACAGTGGCGGAAATCCTTCGGCCAACCAGAAGCCAAAAAACGGGACTCGGCAGTAATTGCGGATCTAGCTGGCGAAAAAGAAAAGACTGAAAGCGGCCGCGGACTTCCGGAAAAATCAACTTCGACGCAGCTGATTCGACGCGAACAGGAGAAAATGATGGGGAAAAATCTCCACCCCACGACCAGTCTTTGCCAGAGGAAATCGCCGAGGAAGAATCTAACTCCGCGAAAAAGGACTCTACCAAGACGGAGAAACACCTTGAAGACCCAAGAAATTATAATGATTCGTTAAGGTTATCTTACAAAGATGCTTTAATGAAAACTTGTAATTCTCGAGGGGCTAGAGCCTTGGAGAAAATACAGGAGGGACTCTAGAAGAAGCAGAAAATTGTGGAGATCATACCAGTACCGGAGAACTTGGGGACCAAATTAAGGAGTTTGGAAAGAAGCCGACCTTTCCACGGAGTCAACGTCCTCTCCCGACACCAGCCCACAGCGACTACCCGTTCCCCAGGGAAGACGTCGGTGGAGCTGAAGCAGCTTAAGAGGAAGCTGGGGGTCTACAAGAAGCTGCAAAAACCGTGAACTCCTTCTTCGGATGCATCCAACTCGGCAACTTCGTCAACGACACGAACAGTCGTCACGGAAACTCCGGGCCCTGGAGAAGAGCCTTTCTCCAAGCAGCCTCGGCCAGCTACCAGCTCAGGAGTAGGAAGCAACATATTGGGATGTACCCTATGACCCAATCAATGAAACTATCTTTGGGTACTCCGAGCAACGCATGCCCCTCGTGCTCGAGGTCATCTACAAAGGACGACGCCTCCAAGCACTCGTGGACAGCGGAGCATCGCACACCGTATGCGATAAGGCAACCATCGACCTACTTCGAGAAGAATACAAGCCATCAGCGTTTTCTGCAACAATGGTGGACGGCAGCAAGTTACCAGTGTACGGCGAAGCAATGCTACACCTACAAATCGGTCCACTGCGCTGGAAACCTGCTCTCCCCATCATCAACATAAAAGGGCTTGACCTGATCTTCGGGCGAGACTTTCTCAAGAAATCAACCCCGAGATCAGCTGGGTAAAATGCACCGCAAGCATCTACAACAAAGGAAGGAGAGTCCAGCTACCCAACTGGGACGATACAGAAGATATCCCAGTGGAGAAACTCCTCAGATTCGAGAAGGACGTCAAGCGAACCAACACCGGGTTCCTGGCAATAGCAACAGAGGTGGAAACTGACGGAGAGAAGACCTCGGAACGTCCTGGAAAAAACAAGGAATTGCTGAAGGAGTTCCAAGACATTCTCCCTAACGACCTCCCGGACGAGCTACCGCCATACCGAACGCACCAACATGAGATCGTGGAGGAACCAGGTTCAAAGCCGACCTTCCGAGCACCCTATCGGCTCAACCCCACAGAGCTAGCCGACATGAAGAAGCAGATCGAGTATCTCCTCACCAAAGGACTCATCCGACCATCCACTTCACCATACAGTCCCCCAGTCCTCTTCACACCAAAACCGGACGGAAGCCTGCGCATGTGCATCGACTATCGGGCTCTCAACAAGCAGACCATCAAGAACAAGTACCCGATTCCACGAATCGATGATCTGCTCGACCAGCTTCGGGGAGCCACGGTATTTTCAAAATTAGATCTGTGGTCCGGATATTGGCAGATAAGAATGGCGGACAATTCCGTTCACAAAACTGCCTTCCGAACTCGGTACGGATCGCACGAGTATCTGGTGATGCCGTTCGGACTCACTAACGCACCTGCACCGTTCCAAGCAGAGATGAATCACATCCTACACCCACTCTTGGACGAATGCGTGGTGGTGTACTTGGACGACATTCTCATATACTTGCGTGACATGCAACCACACGTCGAACACTTACGACGCGTCTTCGAGATTCTTCGACGAGAACGCTTCTACGTCAAACTATCCAAGAGCGACTTCGCCTTCGAGAAAGTCCAATTTCTCGGACATATTGTAAGCGCTCAAGGAGTTCACGTTGACCCCAAGAAAATCGAAGTCGTGTGTACTTGGAAGACACCCGAGAATGTGAAGGAAATATAGCAGTTCCTTGGCTTCGCTAACTACTACAACAGGTTTGTGCCGCAATACACAAAAATCTCTGCGCCACACACGAATCTGCTAAAAAAGAACACGCCCTATACATGGGAGCCGAAGCATCAGGAAGCCGTGGAGCAGCTGAAGCAAGCACTCACGTCCGCACCCGTACTCATCTTGCCAGACCCCGATCGCGACTACGTCATCGAAGCTGACGCCAGCGACCAGGCAGTGGGAGCAGTCTTGATGCAAGACCAGGGGAATGGACTGCAACCAATCGCCTACCTCAGCAAGAAACTACACGGGGCAGAACTCAACTACCCGATACATGACAAGGAGGCCCTGGCTATCATGATCGCCTTCAAGACATCGAGATGCTATCTCAAAGGACGCAAGACGACAGTCTACACCGACCATTGCAGCCTAAAATATTTGAAGACGCAACCAAGCCTCTCCAGGCGACAGGTTTGGTGGATCGACTTCTTCGAGACACACTTCCACTGCGACATCGTGTACAAGCCCGGCCATAAAGACAAAGCCGATGCGCTTAGCCGACCTGCACACGTTGCCGCTATCCAAGTTGAAGTGATGAATCCACTGCTCAAGGGACTCTTCACACACGGGTACACCATCGACCCCGAAATTCCCTTGGCAGAAAAGCGACATCTGCTACAGTGGGACAACGACATCGCGTACCAGAAAGGATTACCGAAGATCTGGGTACCTAATTACCCTCCATTGCGCCAGTTACTACTCGAAGAATACCACGACGTCCTGTACGCAAGACAATTTGGTAGCAACAAGACGCTCACTGGTATCGCCAAACACTACTATTGGCCCCACATGGCAGATGACGTACAGAAATTCGTCACCTCGTGCACTACATGGCAGCGGATGAAGAGCAGCAAGCAGAAAAAGGCGGATCTACTAAAGCCTCGTCCTGTCCCAGAACAGCCATGGCAAGTGGTCAGCCTAGACTTCATCACCGGGTTACCAACTAGCACAAGCGATCATGACGCGATCCTCGTCGTCATTGACAAGTTCTCCAAAATGGGACACTTCATTCCGACACACACGACAGCACGCACCGAGGAGACGGCACAACTCTTTGTTCGCTACATCATCTCACAACATGGCATTCCGACCACACTCATCTCCGACCGAGACCCACCCACAAGCGCCTTCTCGACGTACAGCAACAACAAAAGCGCCAGGCCGATCGCCACCGCACAGACGACACCATAACCGTGGGAGATCCAGTACTGCTCGACACGCGCAATCTTGACATCAGCCATCTCCCATCCAAATTGCGACCTCGCTTCTGCGGGCCTTTTCTCGTTGAAGCACATGTCACTCCTGTTACCTTCTGCTTACGCCTGACAGCTACCTGTAAGATTCACAACGC